CAACATTTTGTTTGATTTCCATCACAAAACAAAGGAACAAATCCATTTCCTTCCCACCCTTTTCTTCAGAGCCTGGTAAACCTTGCTGTGATTTCCTAGGTCTCTTATTTCTTAGCTGAGTGAGCCTCAGTTGGTGACTCAGAACAAAACTGATTTCCTTTGCTTTTCCCAAAACTCATAAAAATGAATTCGACATGTTTATTACAGTAGTCTCCATCTCTTTTCCAGGTTCTTCCATCCTGATACTGATACAGCAGGACAGCTTTCAAAGGAACTAGAGAAATAGCTTTTCATAAAACAATGTCATGCCTCATTTAAAAAAACATGGCTATTGATACAGAGAATGACATGTTTTTAACTGCATCTAAAAAACAAACCAATATGGTTAAAAGCAATGAAAAGTAATTCTTCGGCAGTAGATACTGTTTTCAAAACTGGCATAATCAGGTGTCGTATGCCTGCCGCACATCTGCAGGCATGTTCCAAGTCACACAGTTCTGACTTAGTAACCACTCATGACCATTCTGACAAAGCCGAGGCCGGGGAGAGCACAGCACACTCTTGCTAGAAAAAAGGCGAGTGCTTGGCAGCACTCAGAGGAAGCGTCAGCAAGCACTCAACACCGTCCGCTTTCTTGTGCAAGGTTTTCTTTTTCTGATCACTAGGAAATGTTTTCAGTTAGAACTACTTGTTGGTGGAATCCAGGAGACGATGTGCACTGGCCTCAGTAGTGGTTCTGGTGTGCCAGATTTTTGCCAGTTTCAAAAGGAGCCACTTTGAAATGTTCGTTTGTCTGGAACTATGACGATATTGATCCCCATCAAAAACTGATTGACTTAACTAAGCCATCAAAACTCCAGTCAGTATTTTATGCCTCTAGGCAGGGATAGCCACTCCAATCTCCATTAGGATTCCCAACGCTTACTGGTTCTTGCAGGACACCATCATTGTGTTATTAAAGCACACAATTAGGGTTAGGATGACCTGGGAAAACTCTCCACCTGGTGATGCCGTTTTGATTCCAAACTTGCATGAGACCCATCGGTTCACTCCCTAAGGTTACTGAGGGAAGAGGGTAGTATGGTTGCTCTTGCTGGCCCATCATCTGTGTGGGTGGCTAATACCAACTGTAGTGTGTAACTGGGCCCTGACGTCAACGGACAATTTAACCATTAGAATAAGTGGCTTTGCTGTGCTTGGTAAGCAACTGCTTTCGATGAAGGCTAAACTAACTACAAAATCAAAACATTCAAGGTCTGCTGCTAAATATATTTGCCCTGGGTATGCTCACTAATTCCTATAACCATGGATTCTTATATAAACACAGTCTGACTCAGGTTTCAATATTGAAAGGCCCCACAAGGCCAGAAAAACCTAATGCAGCATCCAATCAAAATATTAAGCTTGTTTTCAATCGTAATAATAAAATAATCTCAGGGCAAATGAGGAACTTCATGTACCGAGGGGTCAGCTAGGCAAAGAACACCCCAGGGAATTGTTACAAAGAGCACAATCTCATGGGCTAACAACAGGAAAATGACTTCAATCCTATAGTTCCCCTCATTCTAAACATCTATGACACCTCTGAATGAGGAGGGCAAACGGAAAGTTAATCTAATCATCCTAAATTATAAAAGTACATGGGGAACACGTGGTGACGTTTCGTCTTGAAGAATCAATTTCCTACTCCCCAAACCACTGACTAGTGAGGGAACAGTGTGAAATTCTGAACATTACTAAGAACATCTACTTTCCCACTCCAAAATAATTCAACTAAATGCAGCCATGATTCAAAGGAAAAAGAAATATGAAAAGGCAAATATTGAATATATCATCAAGATATACAGCAAGTCCCCGGATTATGGTACCAGACATCCTGGTGATGTCTTCCCTTCATAAAACCTAAAAAGTTTAGAAAAGGACTGAGGAGTCCTCAGATGCACTCAAATCCATCAGGGCTACCAAGGGATCAAGTCACAAAAAATAACTTGGCACAACATTTTTAGGTTTGACCCTATGACAGTTAAAACTCAAAATCCACTATCTCCTTTTTACAGATGAGGAAACTGGCAATGAGGTTTAAGTGACTTGCCTAGGGTCAGACAGCTAGCATTTGAGCAGAGATGAACGATAATTCCAAGTTGAATACTACCCAAAAGTAATTAATGGCACAAAAGTTAACAGTTTTCCTATGGGCAGCTTACAGATATCCTGAAGCTCTACTTATTTTGCTCAGCAGCCATTATTAAGCAAGTGTTCAGGGAGAAGGATTGGTGTCCCATCAATGGGTTCCCTTACGGGCTTCAGACAAATAGATGTTTTTCAATTTCCTAACCAACTGAAGGGAATTACCGAGTATTTGTAGGAATCAAGAAAAGGGGTTCAATTCTAAGCAAATGTACAGTGCCATATAAAGCATTGACTAAACCGCTGTGTAGGGCATTTCCCATTGAGCTTCATATTTGTACTATTAAATTTTAATTACTGACATTCTTTGCCAGTTCTAGATTTATACTTCCTTCACTGACGGCCTAAGCAGAAACACATTTATCTAAGTCTATATCTGAACAGACACACTGAATTTCCTAAATCACCTTGTACATAACACCAGCATCATTTCTGCAGAAAGGTTGGCCTATTCTTAGATATGTGGCAAGGTCTTTCCAGTACCAAACTCAAAAGCCTGCTTTGGAAACCACAGGAAAAGGCAGGAAAATGTATTTGTCCCTAAAACCAGATGCAATAAAAATAAAGTATGAACAGTGATCAGATCAAGTGGTGAGGCAGAATTTTAGTACCAGCCAAAACCAGCTATCAGGAGGCCTAGAATAAGATCTCCCTGTTCCTCTAACATCCTGGGGTATGGAGTGACGGATTCCATTTCCCCTCACACACACACCCCTTCCCAAGCAATGCATTGATGCAAAATACTTGCCACCTTTCAACTCTGGCTTTCTGCCTTATCACTGTGTGCCCTAACAGAAACTATAGAAGTCACAACACATAGCCACGTGTGGACCATCTGTACCGAGCTGACATTTAACTAATGCTAATGTGATTTTTGACCCTCCTTTATGAGTAACCCAAGACCATCCCCTGCCCCTTACAACCAACACCTCCCCCTTTCCCATGACTTGAGTCTAGACTATTAGATTGCAACTAATCACACTTAGGAGCCTCATTTTTTAATTTAGTTTTTACAGGTCATAGTATCTATCATCTTCGGGGTTTTTTTCTAAACTCCTTCACAATACTGATTTTCTGATCCATTATTTTCCTTATCTCCTCCAAACCCATTTGACTTCAAATATAGTAATTTTTAAGCAAGATTTATAGTACTATAAAGATTATAACATTTAAGGGATATCTTCCCAGTTTGAATATAATCTCCTTCATACCATTTTTCTGGCCGACAATGTTTGGTCACCTTTTAAAATTTTTGTTTCCAGATTTGTCTTTTAGAGAAAAGCTCTTGGGAAGGTCTGAGCAAGTCAATAAACAGACAATCTCACCAATATTGGCTATAATTCAAGAGTTTCACAACCTATTTAGACGCACACCGCTCACAGTAAGGTAACTTTATGATTATTTCACAGATGCTGTTACCTATCAATCTATGTATACTCACTATGCACAGGAGTCCTAAAGTGGGTGAACTTTGTGGTGTCTTTGCCACACTGCTGTTGAACATACCTTGCAAATGATCTTAATATTAGCTATAAATTAACTTTCTTTTTTTGCTTTCATGCTATTTGTATGAGACTTTAAATGACTAACATAAAAGAAATTCACTGAGTTTCGCTTAACTTGGTACAAAAACATACCGAGTGCTGACACATACTACTCCGTATTTGCATCTTCATCTAAAAATTACTAGTTCAGATTTCAATATTGCCTTTTTGACTACAAAAATCATTGTACCAAGTAGAGTACTTAGTAACACTTATTTTTCCTGATACTCTTAACCAGTGAAAACTGGAAAGTAATTACTGAGTCAATAAATGAGTGAATAAGTCTCAACTTACTGTTAGGAGCCATAGTCAACTCAAGGTTAAGCACAATCTTTTTTGTGAGTTCAAAACTGGTTCTCAAGTTAGCAGCATGCCAATTTTAAGAAACAGACATTTGCTCTGCTTGGCCTACTAAGTTCCACATGATGCCAATGTGTAATTAAAAATGCAAGTCAGCTCCAATATTTGGATTTTCAAAGCACTGAGAATTTTACACACACACATACACACACACCCTCAACTAGACTTATTCCCATCATTGTGGCAAGAGAACACTAAGGGTTCTTTCTCCCTTCAAAGCACAGGCTCAAAATAACCCTCAAAACCTTCTTCATCTGTGCTCTCAGAGAGATTTAAGTCCTTCTGTTTTGACATAAGATGCTGGTGTACATGTGTCTTAGGAAGATTTCTCAGGAGAGCCCAGTACAAAGCTACAAAAGCTCTCCACAGGTTTTCTATCTGAGGTGGGCAGTGCCAACATTCCAAATGACTCCCTTTGGGACATTCAAAGTTGCCTCCATTAGCATGGTCTATCTGCAGTTTATAGGGGTAGATACCCACATCATACAACTTGACCTTCCTTTAAAATGAAATAAAGCATTCCTCTGAATAAACAGCTGATACCATTTATCACAATTTTTTCCTTAAAAAAAAAATCAAGATTAACTTTCATGCTCAAATATACCCAACGGTGCCACGTGTTCCGATTCTTAAAACTCACCCTTACAAATTAGAGATCCAATGCCTTAACGATTCTACTCACTGAAGCTCTAAATCCTCCAGCTGAGATGCATGAGTTTTTCACCAGCACCAGCCCCCCCAATCCAAACATCAAGCAAAGCTCTTCTGAAGCAGCCTATTTTGTTATCAAAATGGCCTGATGTTTTTCCCTTAGGTTAAACTCAGGTAATGACGACCCCACAAAACCAAGCCTTGAAAAAACATAAGAGGTGAAAATCCAGGAAACACATGACTCTAAATGGGCTCCTATTTCAAATTGTTTTCATGACTTTGTAAAGAGAGCATGAAAATAAACCTTTATTTTCAGTTTTTACCCACCAAAGAGATATGTTCACAGTTTTCGCGCGACACATAATGAACCAAGAGGCAAATTTACATCTATCAGAGAAACAGATCAACCAACTTTAAAGTACACGCTGGTTTGAAAATCGTCATGTATGTGACATATGAACGCAAATATTGCTCTGTGGTCTGGTTTGTCAACAGGGAGGCTACTTCTGGGACAGAACCATGGATTCAAGCCTTTATTTGCTGGCATACTATAAGTCTGAAGAGCTAAGGTGACAGTGAAAACAGTAACCAATAAAGGTGGAGACAAGAAAGTGCTATCTGAACGACCAGCAGTTTGAGACATCTGTGCTTTGGAAGCTGAGCCACGACCACACCGATCAGCTGAGACTGTGTCTGTGCATCCCCAGAGGATTTCTATTTACACCTCTCCATATCAGGTACTTGAAGGAGACTGTTCCGTTAGCACCAATGCAGAAAGAACATGCTTAGTGTCAAGATCCACTAACGCCAGCACAGAGAGATCACTCAGAGGGGAAAACCTAGCTCTTTACTGGACTGTATACACTCCTTTCTAGAGAGTAAGTGAAGTAAATGAATTAAAGAATCAATCCACATGTGGTAATACTCTTGTACAAGTAATTTTTCTGTAGAAAAGGTCTAGTTAAGCAAGCCAAAGTGTCTGTAGTTTTCATATTCAAAGTTCTCTAATACTTGGCTCGGCCTGTCCTTTTTATTTTTTTTAAAAAATAGGGCATTATGTTTTTCTATCTTGGTAAAAAAAAATTTTACAAATAAACTGTTTAAAGTATTTAGCATTAAATGAAAATTAATTCCTATTATCCTAACAAATGTGGCAAACCCTCCCCCCCCCCCCAGAAACCCCCAAACATTTATTAGTTGCTAACTCCAAGTTCAGTCTTTGGAAAGTGGTGATGCTCCTGTTCACAGGGATAAATTATCAACCTAATTTTCCAAAAGGGAAGAAGTTCTCAAGGGGGGAGGGGAGAGAACAAACACATTCATCTGTCAGCAATTGGATACCGGAAATGGAAGTCATATAGCAAATGCAGAAAACAGTAAGAGGTTTTTGGTATCTATTTCAGGCAGCATGCTGGAGTTCCCACCATTTCAAAACAGTCTGCTTTTCTTTCAGGAAATTAAACTCTTCCCTCCTTTTTCCCTGGCAAGCGCCTTTTGGTTTCTTCAGAACACGGCTTCCAGATAATGGAAAGATACACATTTTCTCATCAACCTTGGACACATCTAAATCACACCACTTGTTCAGCAGTAGTTCAAATACGCTGCATTAACCAAATCAAGCCCTTCGCCCATCCCCATCCCCCACCTATCTTACCTGACAGAATAATGTGTCTCACCCACAGTAAGTAGTTTAAACAACTTACCAAACAAGGACTCTAATTGGTTTTTGTTTTTTTGTTTTTTTTTAAATTGAAAGAGAAAAGTTTCACATCAAAGTGTAGATAGTTGGAAGGGTGAATAAGGCCTAACTTTTGCCTAATGAACCATGCATTACTGCTGGATCAAGAGTTATGTGACACAACCAATGTGCTTGGAATCTCTTCAAGTACTGATACGGTCTGTATATAAACAGCTAGCATACATGAAAGCTACCACAATAGTCCTTCCAAGACTGAAATTATTAAAACTAAGTTAAAATACTTCAGAAGTTAGTATTCCACACAGCATCCAGTTTGCCAAATTAAGCGTACACGTCCCATCTGACCACATGTGACAAACTGCAAAGCAGGTACTAAAGAAAACAAATGACGTCCAATAGTTAAGACCAGTTTGTCGTTGAGGGAAAACATCTAAAATCCTTAATTAAAAAACACAAATGAAATGAAAGCTTTAACTGGTACACACTGTTCACACCTATATTTCAAGTTTGGAAACGCATATTTGCAAGCAGCAATACAAAAAAGTATCCATGAAGAATGCATAATCTCTGAAAATTATGAAAACATCCCTGCTACCATTACATTTCTAAATACAAAACTGACTACCATATTGTTGCTTCCGTGTAGCGAGAGAAGTTCATTTTCAAAACAGATAAAATTCAGTCTTTAGGTGTGAATGGCATGAATGACAGTCTTTTTTTAAAATTTCTTAGTTGTTTAGGATTGTTAAGCATGCAAGCCTCGTGGAGGAGGGTCCACAAAGGAGCCGGGGCTGGCTGAGGACGTCCAGTTTAGGCCAGAGCTGGGAAAGCCTCTGGGTCATCTACGTCAGGAGCGGAAGCACTGGACTGGAAAAGAAACAAAGACGAGTGAATAGGATCTTCCCCCGGGGCGATCCCCCAGCACATCCAGCCAGACCCACTGCTGCCCGCGCCTGCGTCTGCCCCTCTACTCAGGGTTTCAGACAACCCATAGAGAGTGTAAAATTCTGGGGCACAAGTCAATGGTTTGTTTCCAATTTCTATAAGTCACATAAAAGCTGCTCTTCAGAAGAGAGTGTTAATGCTACTAATGCAGGTTCTGGCTTATAAAAATGTGAACTTATTTCTCAGACTATAAAAACTATAAAAAAAGAAAAACAAATTGGGGGTAATGCTCCTTATAAGGTGTCAGCATGGTGATGTCCTTCTTCCCCCCACTCCCAAGAGCACTTTGCTAACAGTGAAGGCCTTAGCACTCATATTCTCTTTTAGTACCAGCTGCTGCTAAGCCCCAACATGGCCAGTGGAGACAAGTTTGTGCTTAACAGCAAAAAGCCAAGTATATTTCTAGGAAATGGGCAACTCTAAGTCTCTCCAATCGATATGGGGTGGACGCATACACACAGGCACAGAGCCTAGGGTGACTCGGGTGCCAGATTGTCGCACCAATATTCTTTACAGGTTGGGAATCCATTCTTTATCTTGATCACTGGCAGGTTTATAACAGTTTCGGGGCCAGCCCTACTTGCCCCACAGCAGCCCCAGCCCAGAGCAGGCAAGACCACACAATGACGGATGGAAGTACTCATAACCTGGCTGGCCTCCCTCCAAAAGATGGGTCTTCTTTAGGAGAGAGGCCTGCCTGTAAGCAATGACTCGGGTGGCACCTGTGAGTCAAGCTACTGATGAGCGTACCTTGTCAGTTCTGCTTCCGCGGTTGGGCCGTCCGCCACGTCCACGCCCGCCTCGCCCGCCTCTGCCGCCACGCCCCGGGCGACCAAGGTCTCCAAAATTGATCTCCAGCTGGGATGTGATATCATTGGCGGGCTTACGGAAGTGATGATCCATCACAGATTCTTCAGTGTGAGCCTGAAATAGAAGGGAAAGCCACTGAGCAATGAATGAGTCGTGATGGGTGCTAGTTCTCCTGAAAGATAAAAACATCTAAATTTATACGTGGTGCGAACACAACTTCTTTTAAGTCCATCAGATGCACTGCCCTCCCCCAAATGGCCTTAGAACTGACATTGCCTAGAAAATGCTCCCCAAGCAAACGCCCCCACTGAAATGCAGTGCACAACAGGACGGCCCTCAGGACAGGCTCCACGCCGGTACCTCGGTACCACGCACCCAGTTTTTCCAAACAGGTTAAAAGTTTAAAAACAAAAGGCTTCTTTGCAGGTTCATGATTCAAAAGGAGTTTCAACTTAATTGGATTTTTAAAATAATTTATCTTGTTACTCAAATAAGAACATCAACAGATAGAAAAGATCTCAGCACTGAACTTAATTAAGGAAACCATCACCTGCTTTAAGTTCACCACCCCATCCATCTCATAAGTGACCTGCTATGTTCTGACATCTAAAAGTTGTCACTAAATGAAGAGGCATCAAAGTCTTATTGATAATATTTCCAGAATCTTGAACTTTCTTGTATTTGCTTAGTACATTCAGGTCTCATCTGTATTTTATCAAAACAGAATTTACTAAAATATGTAACATACACATAGACACATGCACATAAAACTGGAACAGGGTCATGCATGCAAGTGAAAATGGTACTTTTGTGTAAAAGGTACATTGCTGGAAAGTCATACGTAAATTGAAGCATAAGAATTAGGAATTACTTAAAGAAATGTTTCTGTGGGTCCTTGGGAGAAGCCAAGAATGGCTCCCAAATCTCTTAACAGACAAATCCAAAATTTCCATTATGTTTGTCTGAAGTCATAAAAATATCTATGATCCCTAGTTTGTAATGCACACAAGAATTTGTAATTCTGGACAATGTCCACAGCACATTAGGATGAAGGTAACAAACTGAGACCTTTATGCTTTCTCTCGAGAAATATACAGCAAAAGCCTGAAAGGCTAAGAAATGTTTTCTCGTTGAACCAAATAGGAATGAAAAATGTGGCTCTTAAATTTTGGAAAATCTACTTCCAAAACAAATGTCATCCTTTGTAACTAAGTTTACAGAGCAAATGGAATCTCCAAATGTAACAAATTATTCAGAAAAAATTACTGTATGATATCCACTGAGGTTTAACAATGCTCTTGAAATATACTGATTCCCAATGACACCCAATTGCTTTGTAACCCTCAGTTATGGACACTTCTGGAGAAGAGAAAGTAAGTGGATTCTAAGAAGAATGCTTAGACACAATTTTCCCAACTCAGCATTACCCTGCGATGCTGACGATAGGAGGAAGGCTCACTGGCATGTCTCTAACTCAAGGGATTTTCCCTACCTCCCCACAGCCTCCAAGGCAGATGCTATTGCCAGAAGACAGAACCCTGGCCAGATGAAGCAAATGGGCAAGCAGCATCCAGGTAGTTTTACTATGGTATCTTTTGTTCTAGAGCAGTGTACGAGGGTCCAGGACATGAGGAGTTCTTGTCTTAGTAATGTCACTAACGGGAATGTGACATGTGGCAATTCAAGTCATTTAACCATGCTGTGCCTCAGTTTCCTCATCTGTAAAACGGAGCTAGTCATGAGGCTCAAATAAGATAATGAATACGAAAGGGCTCTGAAAATGGTAAGAAAGCAATCAGAAGTTATTCTATTGCTTCTGTGAAGCGACTTCAACTGACCATGCCAGCCAAGTGCTATGGACACTGCAAGAATACAAGAAACCTTTAAAATCACTACACAACTGGTGAGATCTGTAACATAACTGGAAGAACCTATACCCAAGGAAGGGAAAATGGAACAGGAACCTTACGCTCCAGCTTCTCTGCATGAGAAACCATCTTAAAACTAGAAAGGCAAACAAATGAAAAGATCAGCACCTCATTTGACTCCACAGGGCTCCCCTGCACCTCTGCCATTCCCTTCGTCTGAGGTAAGTCATTGGTCCACACCCAAGAAAAGGGGGAGAAAGGAATAAATGAGATTACATATGGAATTAAAAAAAAAAAAAAAAAAAAGGAACATGAAATTCCTGAAGTGAAAAGGCCAAAACAAAAATACAAAGGCACAGCTACCAGAGGGGCTCAGGAGGAACAGGGCTCTAGGTTTCTCGTTTCCAACTTCAGGCCGTTGGGTCACGTTCAGGATCATGCTTTGACAGTTTCGTGCTACACAACTTTCTTATTCCCCAGTTTCACAAAAGGTACAAACTTGAGGCCACAACATGGTCTGGTGCCAGCATGGCCAAGGTCAGGGGCCAGAGTTCAAACTAGAATTTGGACCCACCCTGTTCTGTCACAGCGCTCCTAACCCTAGGCATCTAGACAGTCATCTTCTGTGTTTGGGGCCAGGATCAAAGTGAGTCAGAATCAATCTGCCACATGCAACTTTCCCTGAGGCTTGCGAGGACAAAGGGTCCCCGACTAATACCTAATGAAAGCCCAAGGTGAAACCACGTGGAGCAATCTACAATGAAATCCTTCATCAATGTACCTAACAATTCTACTTTTTCTTGGGGGCACATCTGTGCCCTCTTGTGTAACGTTTACATGTAGCACCAGAAGGCGGGATGCAGTGGCTGCTACGGAAGCAGCCTCGCTATTCTGACCGCTACCTCACTGCGCCTTGCACCAGCACGGACTGGCCGTGGCTTTCCTCAGATACGTGACTTACAGTGAGCATCTCTGGAAGAACTGAAAACAGGTTCTTATGAAATAAAGCCCAGATGAAAAATTGTGACTTCACAGCATCTCACTCTTAACCTTTTAAGGAGATTTTTCTGTGAGGTGCTGCTGAAAGGCATGTGTTTCTTAAAATGTTCCAAATATTAAGTTTCAGTACACCTAACTCTAACAGTTGTGTCCCTGAAAAGATTAAAGGTTAAGTCCCAAATGATAAATTATAGATGCAGAAAGAGGCAATCAATTTATATCTACTTATCTTTACGAGTAGTATACCCACAGTTAAAACAAGAAAAAAACCAGGGAATTTTTGATAACAAGCAGCTCACTTAACTGCTCCCTGACTTCAATGATCTCTTCTGTGAACTTAATGAAGCCTTTTCTGACAAGCAATGGGCCTCACTCAGGGAATAAGCAGTGACTTCCCGGTGAGGCCTGTAAATGAGTCTTGTCTTAAACCTTTGGGGATTCTGTTGCTCACTATTAAAGCACCTTTCCTTCCCCCATCTAGGCCTGTGGTCTGAGGAGTTTATATGCAAACGGAGTAGGAATCTAGAGGGTGGAAAATAAAGAGTTGAGATGAAAGATGCATCAGTGGAAGAGAAAAAGGAGCAAGCCTTCAATCTCAGTGAAGATGTTACCAGGTACTTCAAATGCCATTCATCATCTTTTACACCCCACCCTTCCCGCTTCCCCCCAAAGCAGAAAGCAGCAGTCAGGGGAGAGAGAAGGCCAATCCCTGCACACATCCTCAGCCAAGATACGTACGATACAGTCAACGGCTCCACAAAGAGTTCTAAGCTGGCGAGCCCTCTGCCCGCTCTTGCTTCTCTGAATTCGCTGTTTTGCTCATCTTTAAAACTCATCTTTTAGCATCCCTCAATGCTTAGTGGCAACGCGATGATAAAGACAGAGTAGACGCCCCAATTCTTTCCCACCCCCCACAGCATAGTGGGCTGCTTCTCCAGTGACAACAAAGCCCATCTGAAGACAAAAGCAGAAATCTGTGGGGGCTTTGTCCATAGTTTCCCACCCTTCTATGGCCTCGCCTCGCCTCCCCGTGCCCACCAGCAGGACGCCCGGTACCTTTTGGTAACCAGCAAGCACACAACTAGCAGGGTGAACAAATACCAGGACCATGCTTTGTTTCCCACACCTGCTCCTCCATCCTTCAATTAACAAGTGTTTTGAAACCTATCGTTTTAGGAGTAAAAATACAACAACCCATCTGATGGGTTTCTGACCCTACAGATGTGAGAATTTTAACAAGATACTGCTGACCAGGAATGAGTGAGGCCAACAACCCCAAGACATCAGCGCAAATGTCAACAAAGGTAAGAGACATATCCTCAACAGTAAGAGGGCCAGCACAAAGCAAATGGTTAATTGTTGTTAACTGCTAACAGCCAGGTGCTCCATTTTGCCCCCAGTCTCATCTCCAGGCAGACACTACAAGTACAGCAGAGAGGCTATCCCTGCTTGGCAGAGCTCACGTTCATGTGGGTGCCAAAAGGACCAAACAGGGCTTCCAGGTCTACTGGAGAATAAATGTGATGGCATAGACAAGGATGCTGAGGTGAGCCACACCCAAAGACCCCCATTGCCTTTCGAGACCCTCGAGTCAGGTAGACCTCAACAGGATGCTGCTTCCAAGTCTCTGGTGAAAGCTGTGAGGAAGGCTCGTGTCCAAAGCCAGGACAATTGCGACCTTCTCCAGGGTTTCCACAAGTGCCCACATTTCTAGCTTCCTCTTTATGACATGGCTTTACTCCCAGATCAACATTACAAGCCCAACTTGACAGAAGTTTGAAAAAGCAGAGTCTAACTGAGGCTCTAACAGAAAACTGAAGGTTGGCGAGCCAGCCCCAAGCGCTCATTCTAGGCAAAGGATTCTGCAAGCAGTCTCGGCAAACACCTCCCAAGCCCAGCAGCGGTCTCCAGGTGCTCGGCCGGGCACCCCGCAACCCCCAGGCCGCCGAAGCATGACTCGCCGCCGAAGCGTGACTCACCTCCTCGCTCTTGGACTTGTGGAGCACAAAGCCCTTCTTCCACTGCCCGTCGGCGCCCTCGTTGGGTTTGCGGATATTAAATTCTACTTTGGCCCGGTCCTTGTTCTGAATGGCCTTCCACTCATCCAAGGTCATCTCTTTGGGGCCCTCCTCCTTCACCTCTTCCACCTCATTTTCTCTGTGAAGAGAATGTTTCGTAAGACGGAGAACTGAGGAGAGGACATTCTTCTGTCCCACTTGTACATACCTTTAAAAAAACTACAACGTACACAACGCAGGGAGGCCAAGCGTCTCAGGGCAGCTTAAGCTGTTAGAGCTTGGCACTGCACTGACACTTTTGGGACCCTGCACAGCAACCTCTTCTGTAAAAGAATCTGATAAACGAGTCATTTTATATCTCAGACTTATTGATATTAAATGATTTCACAATCTATTAAGATTAGAAAAAGGAAGCTTAGCAATCTTCCCTTCATTGCAGAGATGAGACTATGGCAAGGAAGAGTCACTTATTAAGCACTTACTACATGCCAGGCACTATGCTAAGCCCTGAGGGCTGGGGAGCGAGAGCCGAAAGAAAGGGTGCAAGGAAAAGCCCCCTCCAGAAGGTGGAAGCTGAGTCCTGATGGAGCCCAGGAAAAGAGGGAGAGTCTTTCAGGCATCGGGAGGACACCAGGCTGGGGGAGCTGGGGTAAGAACAGTGAGTAGGTGGGCAAGGGTCAAGGTGTAAAGAGCTCCATGGGTCAAACTGAGAACTTTCTATCTGAGCCTGGAGGCACTGAGGCTAGTCCTAAACTTTAGGCCAATCACCTCAGCCGCTGAATGGAGGCTGGAGGGGAGCACAGAGAAGAGACTTGAGGCAGGAAAACTTATCACAGGCTGTCAAATTGTATGATGCACAGGAGACATGAGAGACGAACGTAGAAACTACAAGACTTGGCAAAATGTGAGAGTATGTCGCTTAGTAAGAGCGCAGTCAAGTATGGCACTGAGGGTTGAGAGCCTGGGTACCTGGGAGTATGGTGGTATCCCTGACAGGTTAAAATGGGAAGGAAGGAGAATTGGGGGGCTGGGGTGGGCCCGGAGATAGTGAGTTGTTTTGAACCCAGTATAAAATTTTAAAAAGAAACATCAGATTAGATTTTAAAAAGTGACCAACCTTAGGTAGGATGAAAATTTACCAGGTGAATCTTAACAAAAGCCTTTACATAATGGGCAGGTGAGATTCAAAAAGATTTAAGTGTGGTCAATGACACCCTGCCACCATTAAGACTGACAGAGGTGAGTTCTTTTCAGCCAGGACAACAACACGAACCAAAGATAAAAAATGAATTAAACTTAGAACCACATGGAATCATTGTTATCACCGAACTAAGCCAACTATTTTTAAAACGACAACACAATTGATCCTGTTACTCTGAATACCATTAGCAGCATGTTGAGAGCAAAAGAGTTTGTATCAAAATATTTTCAAAATGTTATTTCATCCTTTCAAGTTTTTTAATGGATGTTGTCCTTAGACGGACATTATCCTAAAGAAATACACACAGTATCTAATTTGTAAATGACTCTACATTTGTTCAAGTGCATGTTCAGTTTGGAGAACCCTAAGTCAAGACTGAAGATCCAAAGTTCTTTCTTTCCCCACCAGGGTCTGCTTTTAACTCCCTAATTCCACACAACCAAAATCAACCAAGAGGCCGATGACCCATTTCTCTGTTGGGCACCCGCACAGACGAGCCATAGAGGCCTCAGTCAGGAAGGCACCAGACCCATAGCAGATGGCACATATAGCCGTCCTTGACTCCCAATGACAAACTCTCAGGGCAGGGAGGACCAGGGAGGCAAAAACAAAATTATCTATGATTCAACTTTCAAAACAGTTGCTATACATTCCTAAAAGGGCACTTGCCAAGGAAAGCCGTCCTCGTGGAGAACGTGGGATCATTCCTGAACCGAAAATCTCAGGCTAATCTGCTTTCAATACTCGATTCATAGCATTATGCTTTTTTGATGGAAAATAACTTAAGAATATTTCAAGTAAGAAAAACTACAAAATGTATTTCAGCATTTGACGTGTCAAGTAACTGCTATGTTCTATTCCATTTTTGTTAATGTGTTAGCTATCATTAGCTTTTATTATTGTTACAGAAAAGCGGTTGGGTCCTACTGAACCTGCTATGGGCCAAACTGCTAGGTGGCGCCACGGTGCACAAAGCGCTGGGCCTGGACTCAGATCTTCAGGAGTTCAAATCTGGCCTCAGATACTCACTAGGCTAGGTGACCCTAGGCAAGTCACTTAACCCTGTTTGACTCAATTTGCTCATCTGTAAAACGAGCTGGAGAAGGAAATGGCAAATCACTCCAATATCTTTGCCAAGAAAACCCCAAATGAGGTCACAAAAGAGTCAGATACGACTGAAAAACAACATGGTCCAGGCACTGTGTGTGCTAAGTTTTTTATATGATCCTTCCAACAACCCTACAAGGGAGGCAGTTATAATTCCCATTTTACAAATGAGGAAACTAAGGCAGGCAGAGGTGAAATGACTTGCCCAAGGGTCACACAGCATATGTCTGAGGTCAGATTTGAGCTCTGTCAGGTCATCCAAACCCCTCTTCCACTGTGTCCTGAGCCTGCTTATAAAGAGTGAGGAGGAACATGGCTCCCGACCAAGGAGCTGCTGCCATTGAGCAGGGCAGGCTACGTCATCTCTGAGAACCTCAGCTCCTTCAGAGGACTATCACAAAAGCCCAATGAGATAATAGATGTAAAAGGCTTTAGCAACCTACATCAAAGCCAACGACCAGTAAAACTAAACAAAGGACTGGGAAACCTACATTGTTCCTACCCCACTTTTCCACTTGCTGAGGAAAATCACTCCCTCTTTTTGCTTTATTTTCTTCCAACGTGGGAGCTATTGCTCTGCCTGGGTAACCTAGAAGCCACCCTGTCTCTTAAACCCTTCACCGGCTCTAAGTTCTACCCCTTTTCACCACTCCAACCACAACTACCCAAGGGCAGACCTCTGCTACCTCTAACTCCAGCTACTTACTATAAAAGCCTCCTGCTGGGCATCTCTATCTCCCCCCATTCCTTTGCTGCCATGTAAGCCAAGTGGCTATCGCCAAAGCACAGGATCACGTGCATTCTGCAGAATAAGCCCACCCTGGGCCTGCTACTACTGCCCCTCAGAAGCCAGACTTCCTCAAAGACCACCACTCTCTCAATGCAGAGTCCCACGGTCATTAATGTTCCAAGCCCACCCCCCACATCTCCAGAAATTATTTGTATATATGCTTTATTTACCTGCTCAAGAATGTAGCCTCCCAAGAAAATGCGAAGTCTTTGAAAGCAGTGACTGTCTCACTTTTGTCTCTGCACCCTTAGTACCGAGCATACAGTAGCACCTAATCAACGCTTTTGGACAGATTAGGCAATGCAGTGTAGCAGGGAGTGCATCCAATTAGGAGTGAGGGGCTGGCTAACTTGACCAGGCAACTTGCCCTAGGGCAAGTTCTAACCCCTCTGGCCTGGGCCTCAGCTTCCTGTGCTGTAAAACCAAGGGGTGAGCCCTGAGACCTTGGAGAAAATGAGGCAACAGCACCTCCCGGCTCCACGCGTGCCACACAGCCAGCATCAGGCAAGGGGAAAGCATACCGTAAAGAGGCAGGACTGGACTCCTTGAACAAGAGGAAGAGGACAGATACATGCCAAATATTCATCTGGTCTGAAAGGTGTACTGATGAAACTCAAAACAAAAGGTGATGAGGGCGGGTCCTCAGGTGGTGGCAGGGAAAGACAGAGTAAGGACTGGATGTGGAAACAAAGGGACACAAGTAAAAACGTGACCCAGCAGCACAGAGGCCTCTGCATGAGCCAGACCCTTGACAAAGCTAGCCTTCAGGAACTTCCTGGGTGCCCGCTGCTGTCCTCAGGCCTCCCTTAAGGAGGCGCTCAAGCTAGGCACTGCTCACTTGGCTGGCACAGCTTTCCCTGCCTGGAACTTTGATGCTCTGAAAGATCACAGTAGCTTTGCTACTCACACCTCAAATCCAAGAGTCTGCCCAGAGACCTTCGGGGTTGGAAAGCAGAGCCCCGCCCCCCAACCTCCTCTTAAGGAGGGCTCCTGGGCCAGTCATCTCTTGAACTGCCCACCCAGCTGCCTTTCTCTGGACCTCATGGCCATGCCCTAGGGCTGGATACCATTCCACCCTCCTCTGCACCTTCCTTTTCTAATCTAATCCAATGGTGTCTTCCCCCATTAGATTCTAAGCTCCACGAGGGCAAGAATTTGTATCCCCAGGGCCTGGTTCATAGAAGAGCCTAGGAAGTGCTTACTGACTGACCAGAGCCTACATACCAAATGAAAACTCTTTGGAGGCACTAAGGATGAAGAGCTGTACAGAGGGATAGATAACAGCCGCTTTTCCCCTGACATGGAAGAGGGAATCACGTCCTAGGAATAACACATGGGGAAACCGCTGAGACAAATTTGGGCTCCCCATAAAGGAAAACTCCCTACCAATCAATGACAAGCACCTGAAAGTCCATCTCATGGGCCTTCCTGGAAGGCTGCAGGTTCCTCATCCTCCTCACCTGAGATCTGTGAGCAAAGGTCTGACCACAACCTGGCAGGGACGTGACCAGTGCTTCTCATTCACCTGTGGCTCTGACATATTCTAATTCACCGATTCTTTGACAGATATATGCAAATTGGGAAATAACAGGTTTAGGGAGAAAGGATGTTCTAGAAATGTACACTTGGAGTTCAGGAGAACAATCAAGGTTAGAGATTTAGCTTTGTGAATTATCCATGTACAAGTTAATCAAATTAGGAGGTTAGATGAGATGAACAAAGGAAAAAAAGAAATCAAATGTCAAAGTCAATGGCAGCCAACTCTACCCCAACAGCCAAATTAAAATGATTTCAGCTCCTTGAGGACAGGGACTATTACCTATCTTGTTTTGGGCTTTCTGGTCTCCCATGTCCTACAGAGCACACAGAATGCATTTGAGAAATGCTCATCTAAGGGGCAGCTAGGTGGCGCAGTGGATAGAGCACTGGTCCTGAAGTCAGGAGGACCCGAGTTCAAATTCGACCTCAGACCAAACACTTGACACTTACTAGCTCTGTGACCTGGGCCAAGTCACTTAACCCCAATTGCCTAAAAAGAAAAAAAAAAGAGAAAAGAAATGCTCATCTAACAAATTAATAATTATGTAAGCACGAAAACTACCACAACAAAGTAGGGTCTGTTTTTACATCTTTTCACTCCTAATAGGTATCTAAGATACCTGCTGACTTAAATTCAGCAATCTCAAAAAACCAAAACAGCAACAACAAAAACCCCTGGTGACTCCTAAGACCTGGGTAGTCAATCAAGAAGAATGCCTACGTCTGAACACAAGGGATGATATTTATTAGACGGTGGAAATTTGCTGCTTTATATCTGAAATCCTCATGTTCTGCTGTACACATGGCAACCCCCCCTTTTTTATTTTGTAAAGTTTGAGTATTTAAGTTTAAAATAAAAGAAGAATGCTTAAAAGGAGGGGATGATGCGAAAGCTTCACCTGCCATGGAGATGATAGAGAGCTCTCTTGGAGAAGATGCCGGCAGGTATCAAATTGGGAAGGCTTCGAGGAGAGTCCTGAAGACAATTTCACTGCCAGCCCAGCCTGGTGGAGGTCAATAGCTGTCCATCACCAGGCTGGATGAAGCTAGGAATTTTTGTAGCCAGAACAAGTTTCCAAGAGCTGCAATCTGCGCTGATGCAGAACCTACACGCCCCTCAAGTATGCAGGGAATCCCTACCTATATTCAGTATCGGTAGAGCCTATTAAGAAGCTCCCAATCCAACATTTCAGTCTGATCACTTAACCTACAAGCTCCCTACACTATGGATGAAGCACACGAGACACTGGGGAGAGAAAGACAAATGCCAGAAGCAATCTCTGCTCAAAGTGCTTCCACCTGTTGGGGGAGGGAGCAGGCACTCATCCACAGGGACAGGACAAATTCAAGGCAGTTCTGGGGAGGGCGCTAGCAGCCAGGGTGATCAGAAGTGGCTTCCTGCAGAAGCCTATGTCAGCGGGTTGGGGGGCTAGCCCAGATTAGCTCTGGACATCCCGATCCGATTTCTTTAAGCATGAGATGCATCTTAAGGCATGACAACTATTAAGGAATTAAGAGTTTGGATCAAAGGAAGAGGAAGAGTGAAACAAAGGGACCCAACTCCAGCACAGCAAACAGAGAGCACAACCAGAAAAGCTTTGCAAGGAGGCTCAGCCCTGGAGTGGGAAGGGGGTGGGGCTGAGGGCGTGCACCAGAGTAAGAACAGTGCAGACATTTTCAGATGCAGGTGAGGCAACATAGGGCCAGAATGCAAGAGGAGATGCCCACTGGAGAAGCTGCCCACAGGCCCTCCACATTGTCCTGTGACCAGATGTTCCCAATTTCCCCCATCTCTTTGGTTAATGCTTTTGCTTCTAACACCCCTTCTTTTTAGCAGATGTTCACAATTCCGCTCCATTGGGATAACTGATCACTTGGGACAACTGATCACTTGGGGAAGATTTCAGATGGGGGCTGACACAGCCTGTCATGTTTGTCTTAAAGGAGCAAATATAAAATTAAAGGCAGTTTAGCACTAAACCAGATGAATCCAACTTATCCAAACACGCCAATATGGCTATCCAGACTGCCTCATGTACTATAGCCTGACTTTAACCCGCTTTGATTTTCCAGATGTACTTCTTTTACACCTAAATTATATGTAAGCTGTCTTAAGAGCCTTTATCTTTCAAACCAGATTATCCTAAGGGGATATGAACATTAGTATGTAAATATAATCTTTCATTCTGTCTTAAAATCTAGACAGGGGAAAAAATGACTATTTATGTTCATATCCATGGGCTGAGGGAGAACTCTTTTAAAATACTGGCTACCTACCTGACCTCTCAGAATCATGTCCCTATGGATCTAAAAGGAAAACTACTATTCAGATACAGGATTCCAGGGATTTACTGAACACATAAATGGTATAAAACTGACTTCAGTGTCAAATGGAAATACAGTGGGCCCCTGGTGCCTCACAAGGGAAGGGCAGCTCCATTTAAAGACTTAACAGGTGCTGTGCACTACCACAACTTCTGCCCTTACTTCTCCTCCCTATTCTTGAACTCTCTCAAAGCAAAGCTTTCTACCCCAATACCTCCGCAAAGGTCCCTCAGAGACTCGCCAAGATCCCAAATTAACCGGTCAGTTTCCCCTCACCTCTTCCTCATTGTCACTGTTCTATTTTCAATCAAATGCATTTTCTGATTGGACCAAGGTCCCTAAACACAGCCTGACTGCTCCAGAGAGGCCCCAGCTGGAGGATGGGACAAGAGGCCAAGCGCGGCTCTGCCGCTGCCACAGAACTCACTTATTTTCTGTATCAGCCACTGGGTGCTCTTCTCCTTCAGGGGTCTCCTCGGTCACAGTGCTCTGCTCCAAGTCACTGCAATTATAAGACATTGGTTTCTGAATGTATTGGGGGCCCCCTCTACGGAGAGAAAGAGAGACAAGAAAGGCATCTGGTTCGTTTACACATTGCCCAGTTGTACGGCCCCTTCCCAAATAAAAACATCAAATAGCCCCCACTCCCCAATACATTCACCAACTGTACGAATGCCCAGCCAACACATCAAGGCACCAGTCGTTGGCAGTGAACAAGATTAAGACACAACAGGTCAACTACTACATGACCAGACCAAGCTTAAACAGCTTAGAGTCACTGCAACTAACATAAGAGAATATAAGAAGCAGTCACAGAAAATGTTATCCAAATAACATGATGGACTTTTCCAAGAAAATAGCACTTTCACAAATATTGGGAAAGGAATGAAAACTTGGATAACTGAATAGTTAATGAAATTCTAATTTAAGATAAATTCTAAGAGTACCGGCCCTGGAGTCGGGAGGACCTGAATTCAAATCCAGCCTCATACACAGAACACTCACTCACTAGCTGTGTGACCCTGGGCAAGTCACTTAACCCCAATTGCCTCACCAAAACAAAACACAAAAAAACAAACAAACAAACAAAAAAAAAACCAAAAAAGAAGATAAATTCTAACTTACTAATGATAGAATTTTTCAGCTGATGGGGACTGGGATCCCTTAACATAACACACCCATTTGAAGATCACACCTGGTGCAGAGTGAGGAAGATGCGAGTTCTAATCTGGCCTTAGATACTTATTAGCTGAGTAACACTAGGCAAGTCATTTCACTTCTGTCCGCCTCCGTTTCCTCAAGTATAAAATGACCATAAGAAGTCCCAGACAGATGATGGCTATTCTTCTCACTTAGAGCTCGAAGGCACCCTGAGGCCACCTAGTCCAATTCTTTATTTTACAGATGAGAAAACTGAGGCCAAGATTTGGTAAGTGATTGGCCCAAGATCACACAGGAAGTCAGTGACGAGGCAGGACTGGAATCCAGACCCTTTAATTCTGAAGCTGGCCCATCAGTGATGTCCCATATAGCCGGGACAAGGCACAGAAATTGTACTTGGAAGAAAGCAGGCAACTCACGTCAACTCGTCTTTGACCGTTCCCCAATTATGTGAGCCGCTCCCACCACGCTTGTCCTCGTGCTTCAGACCACTGAAATGCGAATGTGAGAAAGAACTAACAAAACTGAGTTAACATTATAGTGACTGAGGACAGAAACTAGCTAAGTGTTACTAAAATGAACATTAACTTAAGATCAGCACGAAAAATAAATTTAAGACTTACGATCTATCGCTTCCACTATGCCTATCAAATTCCCTTTTTCCACGAGAGTCAAAACCATCTCCTCTGCCCATTCCACGGCCACGGCCGCCACGTCCTCTTCCTCCAGGACCGCCACGACCTCGGATCGGCCGGTCGATGACAGGCCTAGGACGTAAGTAAAAACTGTCATCTTTTAAGAATATTTACGGAAACCAGAGACTTGCAAATGTGGAGAATTCATAGAACACAAAGAAATGACAGCATATTTACAATACTGCTATGAAAAGGGTAATCAAATGGGGGAAAATACCTTGGCGCACCCAACATTTTGCCATATAGGGCTCAAGATCCTTTCACACATGACTATCTGAAGGTATTTCATTAGGATTTAGACAACATCCTTAGACGGTTCTAATACTAAAACAAATGTCTGATCTGTGAGAGTGAGGTTTGCTATGCTTGAACTATTTGAAAAACACCAAAGCTGAGTGCTGTATCTGCTTTAACTTAATAATCTGGCAGTATGAAACGGTAAAAAATTCATACAGACTCAAGTGTTGCACAGAGTATTTCCTTACAAGGAATTTCGGGATTAATATGTGACATATCAGCTTCCCCTAAATCTAACAGTGGGTTTTATCAAACAAACCTGAGGCTAACTACAACAGAAAGTTCTTACTAGAAAATCTTCAAATGAGGATGGGGGAACCCACCAATTCAGGGAATCTTAAGACTCTTTGAGGTCAACTGCAGCTAGGAAGGACATTAAACTTTAAAACCTGTCTTTAGTAAAGTATGATCTTTGTAACGATTTCAACAAAGACAAAAGATCAAAAGCTTACTTATCAACTGAAAATTCTCCTCCTTCACCCTTTTCTTCAATTGATTTTTCAAATCGTCGCTCACGAGGTGGTCGCCTTTCCGGTCTCCTGTCAATTGGTTTTCCTTCACCCTGAAGCTGCTGGTCAGGCCTTCTACCAACCCGTCTTATCCCTAAAATGATAATGCACAGGCACATTATTTTTGCCGCATAAAAAAATGAAAACTATGAGGAAGATAAAGAAAACGAAGATGTCGCTATTTGTTACTCCCTTTGAGTTCCCTAAAGGAAACATACAGCCTATTAAAAAAGGTGGTAGTCAGGGACCCTGAGATGAAGCACAAGACATTTATGAGGTTCCCCTTTAGAAGGATGGTCTAAATCTGATTTTCAGCAAATAGCCCTCATTCTCACTATTTGCTGTGGCCACTTCAGGAGTCATTATTAACCTAACTCTTCTAGACCTGGACTGATCTTCAATTTATGTTTTGGTTTTTTTTTTAAGAATCAAGAAATGACATTCTGCATATGGACAGTTTAACTTGATTAGTCACCTCAGAGAGCCCACGTGTGTAAGCATTTGCAAATTATACTTAAAAGACACAAATCACATGCACACACGTGGCCCTATTGTGCTCACTGACTGACCCTAAGAAAAGCCTAAAAAGTCACTGCTTTGCATTCATAGCATTTCCTGAAAAGAATGAACAGAATTTTATATTTCCTCATTCTGCCAAATTAAAAATGTGAACATATACAGCAAAGTATGGAATTGGCAAAGGAGCTCCAAAAACCCACCTCCTTCCCAGACACTGATACTGCTGCCTACATGATGACATGACAGACATCATATAAACAGGAGGCCAAATAGGTGAGGAAATTTACCTGGAGAGTTTTCTTGAGGCTAAACTCTAAAGACCTACTTTCTTTTCTTTGCCTTCCTGAGAATTTCTGCTGTTTAATCCTCTGCTAAAAACAAACAAATGTGACCTGTTGATTTATTATTAGTAAGTTCCTTGAAGCCAGGATCTCTCTCTTCTTTTTTTTAAATTTTTTTTTCTTAACCCTTGGTGCCTGGCACAGAGTAGGCATTTAAATAATGACTGGTATTTTTATTCTTTAAAAAACTTTAAAGACAAAAAAAATCCTTCTGGGTGCTACACCAATAAAAATCCTAAGCTGAATGATAACTTAAGTCACTGGTAGTACTCTACCGTTCTTTCTGTCCATGCCTCAAGCCTCCCAATGACAGCAGCATGCTAACCCCAGTAAGTACACAGGGTTAGTTAAAGACTTTAAGCAGATAAACTCAACTATTTTTTTGGAGGGGGGGGGGATTCCATCCTGAATCAATTCAATGCAGTTACTTATTTAAGGAATTATACTATTATTAAGGCATATGGGAGATGTTATACTAATTTGCAATATGGCATGTGAAGAAGCTAGGGCAGCTCACGCAACCCAATTCTAAGAATTCCAAGTTAACTGTGCACGTGCTAAAGAGTATTAGACCTTATACCACGGCAAAGGAATACATTTCTCGGGAGTAAAATAGTATTTGGGTGGGGCTGCAGGAAAGGGTAGGCACGATGATATATCTAAGCCAAACACACCCAAAATGAACAATGGCTCCTGCACCCAACAAATATTCAATAGTAATTTACTGGACCCCAAAAAGTCTTAATAAATTAACTCGCTCTAAAAAGGGCCCAAATCCAAGGTTATCTATTTTAAAGCTTCCAAGAGGACAACAGTATTTTTTCATTTTCAAGTTTTCCAACGAAATCTGTACGACCTGCATCTCCAATGTGCCAATTCCAAAATCTGGCAAACGGTAGAACGTTCAGCTGAAAGATTAAACAATACCATTCAATTCAATTAGCTATCAACATCGTGCTGGGCATCCCAAGGGATTCACAAGTACTAGAATGGGAACACACGACCAAAATGCAATGAATGCTTGTCGATGGACTGACTTTCCTGGCATACGTTCTGATTAAGTTCCAACATTTGGGGCACAGCGTTTACAAAGCTCTTCCTGCGACTACAAGTTGGTAACTGTGGAAAACTGAAGCCAGATTGTGACGGCTGGCACACCGCGTTCTCCCGAAGCACAGAGTGCCGTCCCTGCGCCCGCAGAGGGGTTCTCTACCGCCTTACACACCCCCGATCGCGGGGGACAAGCCGATCGCTGCCCGCTCTCCCCGCCCCGCAGCACCCCGGCATCGCACCGGCTTTACCTGCGGACGCTCCGGGACGCATCCCCCGCCTCCTGCCTCTCTTGGGCGGCGGGCTCGGGG